CCAAACTTGGCACCTTTAAGACTTGTGGACTTCAACTCCCAGAATTCTCCAGCCAGCTGTGTCTGTTTCTTTCTTTTTTTCTTAATCTCCCAAAATGGAGAGATTGCAGAGGAAGGGATTACAAGAGAGTAAGCTATGCTGGCTGGGGAATTCTGGGAGTTGAAGTCCGTACATCTTAAGCATGCTGGCTGGGGAATTCTGGGAGTCGAAGTCCATAAATCTTAAAACACACCGGCCAAGTGGAATCCACACATTTTAAAGTTCCCAAGGTTGTGAAACATAGTTCTCAGGATATGAAGCAGAGGCGTTAATTTCGCCTGGAAACATAAAACCATGAATAGCTTCCAAGTTTAACCACGAATAACTTCCAAGTATTCAACCTATCTGCCTGTGTTGATAAACGGATGAAGTTCAGCCTGGTGTTATTTTTTACAATTGTCTGCAAGGCTAATGGATCCAGGGTCTCATTTATGCAGCAACTCCCCAGTAAATGTAATTTAAAACAGGCAGCCGTCCATCTTTCAGGCGCCGAATGTATTTTACATACTGGGGGCTGCGGGGGGGGGGGGGGGGCTTCCTCATTTTAGTGCCATCTGAAGCATTGGAAATCAGCCTTCCTTCCCTCGAATTACTTGGGAGGGGGGCAAGATAGCATGGCTGTGGCCCCCCTCCCTCACCAATAAACTGAGATCCTTGAAGCATTTGTGGGGAGGGCAGGGTTGGAGAAAGGCTGTAAGAATAAACAGATGCCAAAAAAATTCCTCTCCAATCTATCCTGTCTGTTTTTTTTTTTGTTTTTGTTGTGCTTTTCCCCTTGCAGCAAAAAATTGCTTCGTGTGCAATTCGCACAATCCTTCTCGGAAACCGGGGTTTCCCCTATCTCCCAATCCTGGTTTAATGAAGCCTGTAACATACCGTGGCTTGGCAGAGTTTTGGAATATCCTACGACAATATTCGTAACACTGTCAAACATCCAGATCTGCCTATCCCAGGTCCTTGGGAAGGACTTGATAGGTAGGCAACAATGCCCCAAACCCAATCTGAACATCAAGGCAGATTGTGCAATGAATCATCATCATCTTCATCATCATCTACTTAATAATAATAATAAATAAAAATAACTACTTAGGACGCCATAACCGAGTTGCTAAAACCACCCACTGGAAACTGTGCCAAAAGTTTGGATCTGAGTATAGTAACAACTACTGGGACCATCAGGTTGAGAAGGTTCTGGAGAATGAAAAAGTCAAGATCTTGCGGGACTTCAGAATTCAGACGGACAGGCACTTGGCCCACAACATGCCTGACGTAACAATAGTTGAGAAGAAAAAGGATTTGATTCATTGACATGGCAATACCTGGTGATGCACAAATTGTAGATACGCAGCAAGAAAAAAAAATCACAAAGTATCGGGACTTACAATTTGTTGTCGAAGTTTGAAGTTGAGCGACTTTGGAAAAAAGAAATTGTGTGTTATCCTAATTGTAATTGGAACCCTTGGAGCAATACCTAAAGGGCTGCCTCGCTATTTGGAAATCCTGAATTTATCAGACTTGAATACCCTGATTCTACAAAAAACCACCCTATTTGGAACAGCTTATATCCTCCGATGCTACCTGAACAGTTACTAGGTCCTTGGTTAGGATTTGAGCTGTTGAGCTACCAACCAGCCCCAAAGGCTGTGAATCTCACTAAAGATATAATTAACAACAACAACAATAATAGTAATAATAATAATAATGGCGGCTAAAAGCAGGAAAGTTAAAGAAAGAGTCCAAAGGATTAATTCTGGCTGTGCAAAACGAAGCCTTAAGGAGAAATGTATACAAAGTCAGAATTGAGAAGACAGAAACAGAGGGTAAGTGCCGCCTATGCAAAGAAGCTGAAGAAACAGTGGACCACCTGGTAAGCTGCTGCAAGAAGATTGCACAAACTGACTACAAGCGGTGGCATGGCAAAGGAGCAACAATGGTGCATTGGAAGATCTGCAAGAAATATCATTTGCCTGTAAACAAGAACTGGTGGGACCATAAAATAGAAAAAAGTCATAGCAAATGAAAAAGTTAAATTGCTCTGGGACTTCAGAATCCAGAGAGACAGGCGCCTGCCCACATAACACCCCGGACTTTAATAGTTGTTGATAATAAAGACAACAAAATTTGGATAGTGGATGTGGCAGGGCTTGGAGACAGCAGAAGAAAAGAGAAAGAACTGGAGACGATAACAAAATTCAGAGACCTGAAAATAGAAATAGAACGACTATGGCAAAGGCAAGCAAGGGTAGTACCAATAGGAGTAAGAGCCTAGGGTCCAGTCCCAAAACAACTGGAGCACCACTTGAACCACCTAGGCATTGACAAATTTGCCATCAGTCAATTGCAGAAGGCAGCTTTACTTGGGACAGCTTCCATCCTGTGGCGATATCTTTAATAGCATCAAACATCCAGATTTGCCTATCTCAGGTCCTTGGGAAGGACTTGATAGGTAGACAACAATGCCAAGCCCAGTCTGAACATCTGGCTGACTGTGCGATGAATAACAATAATAATAACATTAATAAGCAACCTTGAAGGGCTGGTTTTTGCTAGCCACATTTCTCCAAAGAGAAAACACACACAAAAGAGAAATTGCCCAAACTTACAGAAGACGGTTAAGCTGAGGATGGAAGAGGTCTCGCTTCCTTTATTGTTCTGGACTTTGCAGGTGTAGTAGCCCGTGTCGCCGGCAGTTGCTTCCTGTAAGGTCAGGATGCGGGCAGAGCCTTCCTTGAACCAGATGTTGTTCTTGAACCAGCTGTAGTGGATCTCCTGAAGGTCTTCTCCAGGGACTTCACAAGTCAAGGTGACCATCTCACCTTCTCTGATGCTGGAGGAAGGACTGGCTGATAGCACAGCAGCTGGGAAGTTGAGGAAGATGGGATTGTAAACCACTGTAAGCAGAGCAGAGTTCTCCCAAACTTGGCCACTTTTAAGACTTGGGGACTTCAACTCTCAGAATTCTGGGAGTTGAAGTCCACAAGTCTTCAAAGTGGCCAAGTTTGAAGAACCTTGCTGTAGTCCAACACACTTGGTAGCAGCCAACCAGACAAACTAACCACAAGCTAACTTAGTATCCTGGTCTCCCTCCCCTGGGAACCACCATCTTGAAATAGAATGGGGAGGGGAGTCCATGCTACTTCAGTTCCCATCATCCCCTGTAGGCATAGAGACAAGGTGGATGAAGAGGGGACTTGGTGTTATGTTTGCAACATATGGAAAATGAAGTCCACCATCTTAAAGCATGCTGGCTGGGGGATTCTGGGAATTGAAGTCCTCCCCTCTTAAAGCATGCTGGCTGGTGGATTCTGGGAATTGAAGTCCTCCCCTCTTAAAGCATGCTGGCTGGGGAATTCTGGGAATTGAATAGAATAGTTTACTTTATTGTCATTGCACCTCGTAAAATCAAACACCATCTTCAGTGCACATCATGACCATGAAAATAAACACAAACACACATCCTTCACCCTCCACGCATTGAACCAGAAACCCCCAACACCACACCAACACTGCACTCTAAAATAGAATTCAAAAGAGCTACTGCCCTGGGATAGAAGCTGTTTTTCAGCCTATTTGTCCTTGTTTTTATTATTCTCTTGTACCGTCTGCCAGATGGTAATAGTTAAAAAAAAAGGGGGTTCCCAGGATGAGATGGATCTTTGAGAATGTTTTGAACTTTCTTAAGGCAGCGGGAGCTATAAAGCTCTTTCAAAGAGAGGAGAGGACAACCCATGATCCTCTGGGCAATGACGTTCACCCTCTGGAGCACTGTCCTATCTACCCCTGTGCAATTGGCAAACCATACGGAGGTGCAGTAAGTTAAGATACTCTCTATGGTGCAGCGGTAGAAGGTCACCAGTTTTTCATTCAATTGTTGTTTTCTGAGAAGTCTTAGGTCGTATAATCTCTGCTGGGCCCTTTTGACCAGGGCTGCAATGTGGGCACCCCAGGTCATGTCCTGAATTGAAGTCTACAAGCCTTAAAAGTTGCTAAGCTGGGACATCCCTGGTCTAGATGCTACTCTTAAGCTTGTATGGATGGCATGCACAGGTGGGATTCTGCCGGTTTGGGCCGGTTCAAGCGAAATGGATGTTAAATTTACATCTGGTTCACTGAACCAGTAGTTGAGTCTACCATCTGGCCATGTCCACCTCTCCCCTCCCCTCCCCTCCCCTCCCCTCCCAGGAGTCTCCAGGTGGCCCGTTTTGGATGCAGGTAAGTGCAGGGTAAGTTCCGAAAGTCCAGAAATGGGCTTGTTTCTGGCTTCCGGAGGGCCTCCAGAGCCTGGGGAAAACCATTTTCATCCTCCCAGAGGCCCGAGGGAAGCCTCCGGACTCTGGGAAAGGCAAAAAACAGCCCTCTCGAAAATTCAGGTAGGTCATGTCTACGATGGGCATCCCCACCCAGAAACTGGGCAGAGAACCGGTTGTTCTGAATCCCACCCCTGGTTGTGGGTACTCACCAAAGATGGGGAGCGGCACCCCTTCAGCCAACCCGGTGCCCAGTGCGTTTTCTGCCTCGCAATGGTAGCGTCCGTAATCCTTCAGGGAAGCACGCTGGATGATCTTCACCTTCTCAGTCCCGCAGGCGATGCCATCCTTGAACCACCGGAAGGCCGTGGGTTCTGGGTAGCTGCTGTTGACATTGCAAATTAGAGACACGGTTTCTCCCACCCGGATGTTCTTCGAGGGGGGCTCGAGGGTCACCTGGAGGCCTTTGGGGGCATCTAGGAAGGGAGAGAAGAGAAGGGAGATAAAAGATCGAAAAGTGGAGAATGAGAAGAAGTGTGGTGGCCCACCAGCAGCTAGCAGAGCTGGCAGCAGAGTTGGACAGTGAGGAGGCTGGGGAGGAACCTGGGCCAGTCCTGGAGGCTGAGGAAGGCTCAGACGAAGGCTCTGCATCAGAGGCAGAGATGGGGCCAGGGCAGGCTGGCAGTCATCAGCTGCCTTTGGGCTCAGACAGCAATGAGACGGGGGAGCAGCTGGAACTGGTTCCGAGCCTGTGCATGCGCAGAGCTGCCCAAAGAAAAGCACAATTACAAACTAAGGGTCGACGTGGGAGTAAAGCCACAAGTGGACGGTGAATGCCCCTTCCCATAGGGATTAAAAGAGGAGCAAAAGGGGAGGGGATTCTTCGTCTCCTGGTGATTAGCCCAAAGTCACCCAATCAGCTTTCTTGCCCAAAGTGGGACTAGAACTCTCTATCTCCTAGTGATTGACCTGACGTCACCCAGCTGGGTTTCATGCCTAAGATGGGACTAGAACTCACCAT